CTCTGCTTTGCCCCCCCCCTCCTCCTGGTCTGCAGACCGGGGGGACGGGGGGGGCAAAGCAGAGCCAAGCCTCGGAGCGCATGGGCAGCGGACAGCCCTGTCCGCTGCCCACGTGTTCCGCCGCTTTGCTTCCTCTCCCTTGTCTGCTGGAGACCAGGGAGAGGAACGGCCCCGTTCGTAACTGTGGATCCGACATAAGTCGGATCCGCGTAACTCGGGGACTGCCTGTATATATATATATATATATTGTGTTTTTAAAATTTTGTCAGCCACCTCAAATATTTTAAATATAGATTTGGGGTAAAAATATTTTAAATACATTCCCTAGAAATGCACTGCATCTTGATTATTCTTCTTCAATTATTTATATATGCTTGACAAAGCAATGTTAACAAAATAAGACTATTTGTCACTCCAGAGCTGTAGGATTGCTGTTAGTGAAAAATAAATCGCCCTGCCCACCATTATATTTGCCAATAGATAATCTTGGAAAGGGGAAGAGTTGAATATTTAAAAACCAGTGGTTTTCTCACTGCTGTTACACTCTCACCTGGTTAACTCAGTGACAATAGACTTTGAAACTGCCCTGCCTTTCCTGTATTTACATGCCAAACACAAAAGGGAACTGGGCACGGTTTCTCTCTGTGGTGGAACTCAGCCTCTGTGCCTAGGAGGAGAGAAGGGAGTGGTGCAGACCGAAAGCTACAAAAGAAAAAACCAAACCACAACTGCGTACAGAAAGAGGGCACATATCCAAGACATGTTTTTATTAAAAATTAGTCAGACAAGCCTTTTATATCCACTCATACACCTGTTAAAAACAAAAGTATGTTACAACCATCATAAATTTCTATCAGGAAGGCAGCTCCCTGCTTCCTGTTTAAAAATACATCTTTACCCAGTACTGGCATTATTAGCAACATGAATGATTCTAATCACTGGGGTTTTGATCATGCAAACAGATACAGACATGCTCCATTTTACTGGGACCATTTGAGTAAAATCACAGGTGGTGTGCAACTGATGGGCTCTTATATAGCATTTAAGCTGGAAATCGCAGATTTTGTTGCATGTGCTAGAAAAAAAAGTAGAATTCTGACAGATTCAAAGATGCAGTTGTGCTGAAACAATTTGTACAGTGGGGTTGCTGAGGCTGAAAGCCATGGAACAAAACTGTAAACCCTGCCTATGATAGAAATAATTTCAAAACATGGCACGCTGCAGCACCTTCCCCCCCTACCCCCCCACTTCCCTACTTCCAGCACCCATGAAAAGAGGCCATTAAACAACTTGGCTATGTCTAGACTGGCATGATTTTCCGGAAATGTTTTTAACGGAAAAGTTTTCTGTTAAAAGCATTTTCGGAACAGAGTGTCTAGATTGGCACGGACGCTTTTCCGCAAAAGCACTTTTTGCGGAAAAGCGTCCTTGCCAATCTAGACGCTCTTTTCCGCAAAAAAGCCCCAATCACCATTTTCGCGATCGGGGCTTTTTTGCGGAAAACAAATCTGAACTGTCTACACTGGCCCTTTTGCGCAAAAGTTTTGTGCAAAAGGACTTTTGCCCGAACGGGAGAAGCATAGTATTTCCGCAAAAACACTGACAATCTTACATGAGATCGTCAGTGCTTTTGCAGAAATTCAAGCGGCCAGTGTAGACAGCTGGCAAGTTTTTCAGGAAAAGCGGCTGATTTTCTGGAAAAACTGGCCAGTCTAGACACAGCCCTTCTCTTATTTTCTTCTTCCCAGTCTTCATTTTGCCTCCCATCTATACAGCATTATTTTACATCCCTGTTTCTCTTAAAGTATGTCTGTCCAACTTTCCCAGCCTCATTTCAATTTTAATGTTTCTCTCTGCACCCCTGCTTCTTCAAGATGTTTCTCTGACCAAGCCTTTCTCCTCCCTCCTATTTTTACCTACTATCTTGTCTGGCTCATTTTCTCTTCTCACTATTCCTTTCATTTTTATCCCTTCTGGGTCTTTTAAGGCCCACACCCTCACAGGTATTTGCGATCAATGGAAAATTGGAGTGTAAATACCTTACAGGAGCGTCTGGCTCTACATTCCTGAAGGAATTGAGGCCAGAGCACCCGTCGTGAGCAGTCTCCCATAGGCACGAGTTAAGGGCACATTGGGAGGATCTGAGAGAGAGAGAGAGAGAGAAACGCAGAGGAGCAGTTTATAGGATCTTATTGCTGGGTGCGAGCTTCTCTATCGCCTGGGAAGAGGCGCTCTGAAATTCCTCAGACTTGCCTGCAGCATTGGGATGGCAGGAGCCTTGGGAGTGGGGAGAAGGGGAAATGTATGGAATCGGAGCGCACCCAAGCGTTCCCCAAAGGTTTGGGGGGAATGGGAAGTTCTGACCCCGGGAGAAGCGGCGGAAGTAGGGTAAGAAGGTCTCGGTGCGATCAGCCCCGCGGGGCGCTGTACGCCTGCTCCCAGCTTCGCGCAGCGAGGGCGGGGAGCAGGGAGGGGCCAGCTCCGGGCTGCATCCTGCCCGGACTTCAGTGCCTGGAGAGGAGGAAGGGAGCGGAGAGCGCCTGCCCCGAGCCGAGGGGAGCCGGCGGCTGAGCGGGTAAGGAGCCGCGCGCTCAGCCAGCTGGGGAGCAGACAGGGGCATTTCAGGGCGACTTGTTCCCCTGCACGGGGGCTGCTCGCCCCTTCCTGCCCCAGGTCAAAAGGCAGCAGCTGCCTCTCCCAGTCCCGGGACTGATCCCTGGAGGCCTTCAGTGCGCAGGTGTGGGAGCTGCTGATGTTTATGCCGGCTCTCCAGGGTGGAGGCTGACTTCCCTTCCCCTCCCGTGGGATGCGAAGCCTCTGGCGTGGATGCCAGCGACTAGCACAAGTGTCAGAAAGGAAAAGGGTCTGCCCACTCCTTGGCAGGGATGCTGCGGGTGCTTACAGGGGAGACTTGCAGTGGGTGAGACTGGTTACCAGCATGGCTCTGTTGGGAGATTTAGCAGCTCTTGGTGGTGGAGACGGAGAGCGAGGAGTGTTTGATTTTTTCCCCTCCACGCAGCAGGGCTAAAGTCGAATTAAGCTAGGCAACTTCAGCCACGTCAACTGTGTGGCTGAAGTCCGAAAAAGCTTAACTCGGCCTTAGGCACCGTCTATACAGCAGGAAGTCAACTTCCCTTACACTCCTGTGAAATGAGTCACAGGAGTCAGGGTAAGAAGTCGCCCAGTTTGACATTATTTTGAAATAAAGGCTTGTAGTGTATTCTGAAATAACACTGTGGTGGAGATATAGGCTTAGGCTGTGTCTAGACTGGCCAGTTTTTCCAGAAAATCAGCTGCTTTTCCGGAAAAACTTGCCAGTTGTCTACACTGGCCGCTTGAATTTCCGCAAAAGCACTGACTTCCTACTGTAAGAAATCAGTGCTACTTGCGGAAATACTACTCTGCTCCCATTCAGGCAAAAGTCCCTTTTACGCAAAAGGGCCAGTGCAGACAGCTCAGATTTGTACATTACAAAGTCAGTGCTCTTGCGCAAATTCAAGCGGCCAGTGTAGACAGCTGGCAAGTTTTTGCGCAAAATCTTGCCAGTCTAGACACACCCACTATGTTTGCAGTGCATCTCTAGCAATGAAGTGTTGCCTAATGGTGATTTCCTTAGCATGAGGATTACTGAGATGTACAAACTAGGGCATCAGTCCTGCAAAGATTTACATATGTGCTTAGCTTTACTCATAGATGTCAGTGGCATTATTCAGAGTATGTAAACCTAAGTATGTGCATAAAGCTTTACCGTATCAGAGCCTAATTCAGCTGTGTATCTTCTCTCCAACAATCTCAATAGAGATAAAAGTCAGAGGAGCCTCATGCAATTGTGAGCCAAGTCCATCAGTGGTGATGTCCAGGACATTTACAAGCTCTGGAGAGTGAGAGGAACCTTGACAGTTATAATTATGTTTTGCTGCTGTATCTAGGGCTGATGATACTTTTATTATAATTCTTTATTTTCAGGCACTTAGAACCCTGTAGGGGAAAATACCACGTGTGCTTAACAGTAAAAGTAAATGCCTCATTCAAGTTATTTCTACTGAAGGAACTAAACTGATAACTTCAAAAAATCTGAAATAAACATCTCAGCCATAACTGTTATTTTAGCTTTTTTCATAATCTTTACTTAATATAAAGATTTATTTCAGAGCTTGTTACTGTGTCATTTCTTGTAGTTACAGGTAAGACAGATAATTGCCTTTTGATATGAGGAACTTTGCTCTCTGTGACTATAAACATCCTTATTGCACGCAAAGACAGAGTAAATATTTGTATTAGGGATGTAAGCGACTAGTTGACTATCCGATAAGCATAAGCTCTAGTCACTTCCCACTCCCCTTGCTGCCTCTGTCACATGTAAAAACAGGAGCACAAATAGCAGTGTTCACATGTAAATACAGGATTCAAACAAACTTGCTGAAACATTCATGAGAACAAAATACCCCTATAAACTTTCTGAAGATGTTAATGAATCACAATTAAAAGGCAATTAAATGTATACTGGATATAATTGACTTAAATAGCTACTCATAGTTGAAATGAATGTTTGAGAACTGTGTTGCAGTTATCACCCAATTCTAACCTGTAGCATTGAGATGTATTCTGTACTGAAAAAAAGTTTACAACCAAGGGGAAAAAGTGTCTGTGTCATGCTGGTTGTCTAAAGATTAACTCTGAATGATCCAATTTGGATAATCAAATTCATTGCTGCCATTTAAAATAACTACAAAGCAGACAGCCCCTAGACTCTAAAGCTAGTCATGTAAGAGAGATTTCAATAAGCAGTTAATAGCAGAATGTGAAAAGGATAATCAAACTATGAAGCAAAATAGGTAAACTTCAGTGGGACCTATTCTGAAAAGCTGTTTATAGCTCATTGTCATGCTTATAGGGCGAATGGTGCTTTGGACTCTTTGGGTGTGTCTAGACTACATGCCTCCGTCGACGGAGGCATGTAGATTAGCCAGATCGGCAGAGGGAAATGAAGCCGCGATTAAAATAATCGCGGCTTCATTTAAATTTAAATGGCTGCCCCGCTCTGCCGATCGGCTGTTTGTCGGCAGATCGGGGCAGTCTGGACGCGACGCGCCGACAAAGAAGCCTTTCTTGATCGGCACAGGTATGCCTCGTGAAACCAGGTTTACCTGTGCCAATCAAGAAAGGCTTCTTTGTCGGCGCGTCGCGTCCAGACTGCCCCGATCTGCCGACAAACAGCTGATCGGCAGAGCGGGGCAGCCATTTAAATTTAAATGAAGCCGTGATTATTTTAATCGCGGCTTCATTTCCCGTCGATGGAGGCATGTAGTCTAGACACACCCTTTTAGTCCTTCTCAAGTGGACTATTAAGTCACAGGCTGGGCTTTGCTGTACCTTGCACTGCAGTTCACCCATTCTGTAACTGGGTCTCTGGCTGTCACTTCTTTATTTGCCTTATTTTGGCTCCTTTATACCCTTTCACTCCAGGGACATGCAATGATTTAGTGTTTCCATTGAGCTCGCTTCTCAGCTTTGGCAAAACAGCTCTTGTTGCCAGGATTGGGGCCATGGAATTGCTTCACCATGCTGTAATTAAACCTGGTGGTAGAGTTTGAGTGTTAGGATCCTCTTTATCTTGGGCCATTTTGTTGCCTTTCTGTTTGGTTCCCCTACCAACCCTTTGGATCTAATTCTGTAGTAAGTCATTCATGCACCTTATTCACAAACTATAACACAGATGTTTCCCAGATTGTCACATCTGGCAGCTGCAAAGCTGACAGAGAAAATGTAATGTACTTCACAAGTGGCAATTTCACAAGTAGGCCAGCCACACTTTGACTCTTACCAGGCATGAAGATTATCATAAGGCGATCCAAACTCCCATCTCAGATTTTCCCCTAGAAGTATATGTCCTGTACTGCCAGGACCTCTCCTGAACAGTACAAATACATTCAGTCTGTTTTTCCTTTAAGGGAATAATAAGTATATAATTTGTTACCTCAAATGGAATTACCTGGACACTTCAACTTAGGATGTTAACAAGCGATTAATTTACTATTCGAGTAGTTGATAGGATTTCTCACTGGGGGCTCTTGTGCATTTCAAAGCGGAAGTGCCTGCATGGATCCTGGGGTCAGTGGGGGACTCAGATTCCCGCGCTGGCCCTAGGCTCCATGCTGCGCTTTCTTTTTGAAATGCACAAGAGCCCCTGCTGGGGACTCTTGTACATTTCATAGCTGGTAAGCCTATGTGCAGCCAAGAGTCAGCTAGACCAGGGGTGGCTGATCCTTGTCTGATCCTGGGCTCCAAGTGGCGCTGCTGCTTTGAAATGCCACTCAAGAGTCCAGGGTCAGCTGGGGAGTCCGCAGCTGATCCCGGGCTCCACCTGGCATTTCAAAGCAGCAGTGCCTCACTGACCCTGGGGTCAGCTGGGATCCAGTGAATTTAAGTAATGAGGCATAAATGTCAAGAAATGTTTATAAGAAAAATAAAGATACTCCTTACAGGTGTCTTGCAACGTTTTATCACCATGTGCTTCCAGTGGTCTTGCTGACCAAACTCTTTATGCCAGGCCCTTCTCCAGAGTCCAGTGGTTGCTTCATTTGTCTTTTCAGGTGCAGAGAATGTGATGGGCAGAGAGAAAAAGGAGTGTCTTGCTGTTTGTCCCTGGTTTTTTGTTTTTGTGGTTTTTAAAGCATAATTTCAGTCCTTCTGTTGAAAATTATTTCCTGCTTGGAGCAAGGTGATAGGCATTCTGTTTTTTTACTTCTGTTTCCTAACAAAGAAGGATCACTTTGCAGGTAATGGTCTATCAGCCTTTTTTACATATGGCAAGGGCATCAGCTTGCTCTTTATCTCTGAGTGTCATGCTTCAATTATCCATCCTTAAAAGGTGTTAATCTGTGTTTTCCAGAAGTTTCAGAGGGGTAGTTGAGTTAGTCTGTAACTGAAAAAACTTAAAAAACAATGAATAATGTAGCACAGAGGTGGCCAACCCATGGCTCGCGAGCTGGATGCGGCTCCTCTCCCTCAAAAGTGTGGCTTGCAAAGCCACTCCTGTATCCTCCCAAATGGCCCGACTCCGGTTCTCCTGTGCTCTTCGGGGCGCTGATTCAAAATGGCGCCCACGATGGCGGCCGTCAAGGGGAGCCTGATATGGCCAAAAAGCCTAAGCTTGTTCTAAAAGGGGCAGCCTCCTTATTTTTCTTGATAATTCTGGGCGGGGGGGGGCTGGCTTCTTTTTTTCGCTCAACAATTCTTGTATGGTTCTTTGCATTGTTTCCTCCACTGTTTTGGCTCTCTTTGTTAAATGGGTTGGCTACCCCTGGTCTAGCAGCACCTTAAAGACTAACAAAATATGCAGATGGTATCATGAGCTTTCTTGGGTACAGCCCACTTCTTCAGATGAATGGAGTATTAAGAGTCCAATTCCAAAATAAATAGGGGATGGATACCCAGGCAGATTAAATTGTTTTCCAACGGGTTTAAATGGTGATTTCTTTTCATATAGCTGATTTGTGTCTATTAATTCTTTCCTGTAGACTGTTGAGTTTGGCCAATATACATGGCAGAGGGGCATTGCTGGCATTTGATGGCATAAATCACTTTAGTGGATGTGCAGTAAAATGAGCCTCTGATGTGGCTGGGTCCAGTGATGATATGTGTGAACAGAGTTGGCACTGGGGATGTTTGCAAGGGTGAGTTCCTGAATGATTATGATGCAGGTGTGCTGCATGATTACTGAAAATAATTTGTTTGAGGTTAGGAGGTTGTCTGTAGGCGAGGATTGGCCTTTCCCCCAAGGCCTGTGAGGCTGTGTCTAGACTACATGGCTCCATCGATAGGCAAGGCAAAAGGCAAATGAAGCCGCAATTTAAATGATCGCGGCTTCATTTAAATTTACATGGCTGCCGCGCTGAGCCGACAAACAGCTGATCAGCTGTTTGTCGGCTCAGCGCGGCAGCCATGTAAATTTAAATGTAAATTTAATGTAAAATATGTAAATTTAAATTGCGGCTTCATTTGCCTTTGCCAAAAAAACAAACCTACATGGCTCCGTCGACGGAGCCATGTAGTCTAGACATACCCTGAGAGTGAGGGGTAATTTTCCAGAATAGATTGTAGATTGTTGATAATGTGTTAGAGAGGTTTAAGTTGTGGGAGTTATCCTTGATGGGATTGTCAGGCTTTCCATTGTTGTCTTTCCCTCTTGGGTGGCGGTGATGGGGGGGTTCTCTGCCTTTCTCCAGTGTTATCAGTGCTGTTAATTTAATTCATCCTCAAGACACAAAGCATGTTTCTTCATTATCTTCAACATTTCCACTTTTTCTTGATCACCTGGGCATCTGTGATGGCTGTCACACTTACACACATCCTCCACTCACACCACACAGTTGTGCAATTTCAGACAAGATTAATAGTTATTAGAAGACACAACTTAGTTTGTGATGCAGACATGAGGTACAACTTAATTTGTAATGCTAACAGGGAACAAGGGCTTACAGTGAACATCTAATCATGAAATCACACAGAAAAATAGAAGCATACAGAACTTATAAGCAAGTCATTATACATGAAATCATTATGCACCATACTTATAATCTAATAACCAATACTAACCAATACTAAAATATACATTTTTGCTACAAAGTGTTGTCTCTTGCCATGATCTTCACTGACTGCTTAGTAGCCTCCAAATGAAATTCTATGCTGTTCTTCTGGTCTAAAGCAATCAAGTGGTTATAACCCATCTGTCTGAATAATTATCTTCCACCCTGTAGTACTGTTGCAGTGATGGTTAGCAGAGATGTTGGAGATCTTGATTTATAAAAAAAAGGGGCTACTGGTGGGTCTTTTTTATTAAGGACTCCTCAGTTTTGTGACTCACTCCCTGACTCCTGTCCAAACAGTCCAGATCCCTTGATTTTTCAGGGCAATGTTTGTCTCTGATCCCAACTTTTGGGTCAGCAGGGGGAATTTGTGACCTGGTCACGGTGAGTTCTTTGTTTACTTACTTTGACTTTTGGCAAGAGAGTGAGTTGAAATTGCTAAATTTGTAAACTTTTTAAAAACTTCACTCTTAAATATTTGTAAAGAGCACTTAAAGCTCATATGTTAAAAGACATTGCCACGTCTCTTCATTTTGTTTTCTACCAGAGATGTGTGCTTGAAGTCTGTAGAACTTAAAACATCTGTAGCTGGGGTGAGTTGTTGATGTTTCATTTAGGAAAATATGCAAGCCTTGTCCATGCTGCTTGTGGTGTTGGTGACATCTCTCATTTATTACAGTGTTAAGAGTTTCAAATGGGCTAATTGGGTTTTATGAGAGCCCTTAATTAAATGTGCTGACTTGATGGTACTTCCTGTTTAGTAAGGCAATAATTTCAGTCTAGGATGAATAAATAAGTGCTGATGCTCTATGCCAAAGCCTCGTGTAGCACAGGAATCAGGTTGTTGTCACTGACTTAAATGGAAGCAACTATAAGTTCTTATTAAATTGACATTCTGTGCTTAAATGATCATATTTTAAATAAGATTTTAAAAGTACAATCCACTCCACCACAGAACAAGCTGAAAACTTTATTAAATTCTAACTATCTATGGCTTCCTCTTCCTCCACTAATATTTTAAACCTGAATAAAACATTGCACAGTACAATTCAATCTTATTGTTGTGATGATAATTGTTAATTTAATTTCAGACATTTGACAACCTGACTTTTAAAAATATATACCTTAACCTGATTCTATATATGGCAAATAGAGTGCAATAGATGCATATTTTCTGAGATCTGGGCTGTGTCTAGACTGGCCAGTTTTTCCGGAAAATCAACTGCTTTTCCAGAAAACTTGCCAGCTGTTTACACTGTCCGCTTGAATTTCTGCAAAAGCACTGACTTCCTACTGTAAGAAATCAGTACTTTTTGCGGAAATACTATGCTGCTCCCATTCGGGCAAAAGTCCCTTTTGCGCAAAAGGGCCAGTGTAGACAGCTCAGATTTGTTTTGCGCAATAAAGCCCCGATCGCGAAATGGCAATCATGGCTTTTTTGCAGAAAAGCGCATCTAGATTGGCACGGACGCTTTTCCGCAAAAAGTGCTTTTGCGGAAAAGCGTCCGTGCCAATCTAGATGCTCTGTTCCGAAAATGCTTTTAACAGAAAACTTTTCCGTTAAAAGCATTTCCGGAAAATCATGCCAGCCTAGACACAGCCCTGGTGTATGTAGAAATACATGTTCACCTGAGATTAATGCAACTAACACTGGATGTCACCATTGTACCACCGAAACATAACTGAAAGCAGGTCCGGATCTTATTCTTGGTGTGTGAAGCCAGCTTTCCTGTGCGTTAGAAAAAAGTGTTTTAGTTTATGTCAGTGAAAAGCCAAATGTGGTGGAATGCTATAAACCGGAGTCCTGTCTTGCCACTCTTATTCAAAATGAGCAGTTGTCTTGCAGGGTGAATAGTTCTTTTAATTTCAGTGGAATTTGTTCTACTTCATCTTGGTGAAATCAATGCAACTACTCAGTCTGGGTAAGATGACATAGACAGGAACTTGTATAACATTGGATATGATCAGGTATAGGGTCTGGAATGAAGTGACAGGTGGAACAATACTTTTGAAAAGCAAATACGTAAACTAAAATTATTTAATTGCCGATAAAAAATTACTGACTTCTGGTATGCTGCAGCTCATTTGAATGTATATTCAGTTGCAACAATTGGAAAGGGGACTCTGTAAGTAAATTTGGAGGGTGGGAACTCCTTTTTGAAGATTTGAGAGGGCCTTTAGAATATCAGGATTATGCACAAGGTCATATTTTTCAGCTGCCTTCTTAAAGTCATTTTACTGTATAATACGTGTCTACTGTATATATTGTTAGTGATGCAATAGACGGGTAGATGCACATACAAAACTAAATTCATTCTCTATGGATATGTGGATAAATAAAAGGCCATATATTTTTGTCCCAGCTATACAGAGCACGCATACATAATGACTACCACCCTGAGGGTAACGGAACATGTAACAGAAGATGACCAAGAGAAAGAAGGAAATTATGTACTTTATGGATCCTCTTGTGCCCAAATCATTGAAGAAACAGAATACATTAAAAAGGTACAGTTCTTTTTATTATTTTTATTATTCTTGTCCTCTGATCCTGAAGAGAGCACAGCCTATTGCAATACAACTCATTGCAAGTAAGAAATTTAAAAAAATGTGAATCCTGCACAGTCTAAATTTTCCAACCTAAACAAGTGTGTGTTGACTTACTGGGGAAGGTCACAGTTCACTGTTCCTTAAATTCTTTCTGGCCTCATACTATTATAATGGAGTTGAACCCAAAAGTTTGAGACAAGGATTTAATTGCAATATGTACACCTGTCTTCATAACTAGTCGTATTAGGGAATAGATCAAATGCTTGTCAGAAGATCACTCTCAGAATTTTTAATCAAAAGTTTTCAAGCACTCCATGATCTAAGTCATATTCATGATGCAATGCCCAAGGAAGGGATGAATTTTTTAACCTTATGAGAGACTTATAACATAGGCCCTCTTCTGGGACAAAGAAAATAGCATTCGGATCAGCATACTAATAGCTTAAATTCCATGCATCCATTTCTGTATCAGTGATTTCTTGAACAACAAGGTTTAGCTGGTTAAGAACTGATGGCTTATTTCTCATAGCCAAGCAAAAGAGCACAATGGTGATGGAGTTCAAAAAGCACCTTTTCTGCATCGCTGCTGACTTTAAGAGAACATCTTGTAATAACTAACCAGGCAGATTGACAGGAAGAAATAATCTTAAATAAAAATAGCTTTGTGACCTATTTCTAATCTTCTCCTGCAGATCCAATCCACGTTAACAAAGATTCAAAATCAGGTATGGAAAGAAGCAGCAAACAACAGAATTGCAAATGACAAATCAGACTGTCACCAGCTGTTGGTCCCAGTCTTTCTGCACAGCCAATCACTTTCTCCCTTTTGGCTCTCACCACCACTCCCTACCTTCAGTACCTCTAACTCCCCACCCCCGCCTCTTCACATTCTAAACTCCCGCCAGTCTGTCCTGAGATCATGCTTGGTTTTATTGGCACAAGGAGTTTGAGAGGGGCTGGAGCATGCTCAATGAGGATGGAATGTTGGCGATTTTAGCCAGATCTAATATTTCTACAGTGCATGAGAAAACTGAGATTGTTTAAAGCAGGGAGAGGAATTTACAGCCTGCAGGCCAGATCCAGCTCCTGGCTTGCCTTGATCTGGCTCACAGCGAGGCTTGGGGCTTCCCCTATGCAGCAGGGCTGGCAGTAGCGCTCTAACACCGCAGCAAGTCTCTGAGCCTTGGCACCCTCCTGCATGGCTGGAGTGTGAGCAGTGGGAAGCTAGACCTAAATCCTCTGTCTGGTGGGAGGGGAGGAAGCTCGTGCCTGGCAGGAGGGAGGGGGAGAAATTGGCTCTATGCCCGTGCCTGCCTGCAGTCTCCACCCCCATCACTCCCATTGGCTAGGAATTGCGGCCAATGAGAGAGGGGCATGGCAGTGTGGCGCCATCTGTGCCCTCCCCATCAAATAAGTGCTGCACCAGGTAAGCACCCCAATTTCCTGTCTCCTCCTGCACCCTACCTCCCACCCAGGACGCTCCCTGACCCCTATAGTCCTCTCCTGCACCCTACCTCCTGCCCAGATCCCTCACCCGCATCCTCAGCCACTCCCCAATAGCTCTCCAGCACACTGAAGCCCAGCCTAGAGGGGTCCCACAAATCTACTAGCCTAGGCCTCCAGAAGAGTTGCTTTGGCCTTGGGGGGGGGGGGGGGGGGACACCCTGGCATCCTGAGCTGTATGAGTGAGGTGAGCATCTCTTTAATTTTCTCCTCACTTGTTGGCCAAGGCAGTGGGGGTTTTTTTTCCTCATTTGTGTGTGGCCCCAAACTATGGGTCAGAGGCACCGGAACCAAAAAGAGGTTCCTTTATCCTGATTTAAAGACTTATAAACTTGATCAAACTTTGAGTATTACCAGGAATATCAAAAGGCACCACACAGGCAAACAGGGCACCCTGTAGCCAAAGTTCCAGTCTGTGCTCCAAAGCAGGGGCTTTCTCTAGCATCATTCTGAAATGGTTGAACTATCTGGACAGAAGCATTCCAAAAATACCCTGAAGGAAACACCTGGCACAAAAAAAGTTTAGTCCAAATGGTTAAAATATGGCAAGCATAAGCAACTAAGAGGGCTTTGTAATGGGACGTGTCAGCAACCTTCGTAATGGGCATTGCTGCCAGTCCCAATGCTATAATATGCCATATGCTGCAATATTCTAAATGTTAATTAATCTCATGCACGAAGTAACACTCCGGAGAATCAAAAGCAGTGATTTATTGGTAATGACATGCTAATGCTTTCAAATGTAAAACCCTGGAGAGCTGCACAAATAGGACACTGTTTTATTTAATATTGAAGGTGGGGAATTAGTCATTACCTGGAAGCTGTGGTGACTGTTGCTCTGTAATTACTTCAGCCCATGTAATGACCTTCATCAGGTTTGGGTGCATAGAGTTCATGGCAGGGTGGGGGCCTGAGATAGGTAGATAGAGGAGTACAGAGTTAACTTCATGAACCCAGTCTGCCAAAGCTTGTCTGTTTTACAAATTATTTTCCTGTTTATTTATTTTAGCAGCCTTTCCGAGTGCCCAGAAATGGTTTGGAGGCTGAAAAGGATGCACTTAACTCCAGCCACAATCTAACCATGGGAAAGCTGAAAGATATTGACCAGCAGCTCTTGCTTATCAACAAGGAGAATGAAATGCTAAAGATCAAGGTGCATTCCATTTTAGCCTTCTCTAACGCATATATCAGCTTTTCAGCCTAAGAGAAGATGCAGTTTTACCTGGATTAAAATTCCATCCCAGTAGCAACAAGAAAGCAATAGTTCATTGTGGTTTTGCCCTCTGTAACTAGTGCACTAACCTTGCAGAGTCTCATCAGGTTTTCTTATTAGTACGAAATAGATTTTTTGTAAGTAGATGATGGTAGAATTCATTCTGGGAACTACTGCTTGTTGAATTGTGCTCTTGACCATGCATTTTCTTGCAGTGGCTCCTGGCTCAGCCAGTGGTCCAGAGTAGGTATACTTGTAACCAGTCAGAAATGTATTAGTCAAAGAAAACTTTCAACCTTCATCTCAGGTGAGGAAGGGCTGTTGTATCACAGAGCAAATCTGCACCCTTTATTAAAAAATTAGAATTTAAATGTTATTTGCCATATTCTTTTAATCAGCTTGTAGGGTTTTCTTCTGCCACTGCAATAATTGATGCTAACAGATGTTCAAACAGGATAGCAACTGCATCATTTTTGTGCTACGTGATTTCTACATCAAGCTCTTAAAGCATGACATAAGTTATTAATCCTATTGTAAATGCCTTTTCCAGCTGGATGCAACAAGAGAAGCAGGTGCACAGTCTCTCAGACATGCCTCAAAAAATCTATATGAGAATTACTACAGTCGGTCAGAAGCACTTAAGAAAAAGCATGAAGATGATAAACAGCTGATGCAGGTACAGCACTCTCCTATGTGTGAAAAAGGCAAACTTTGGAGTATATAGGAATACGTCTGTGGTCAGTTGTGGGACTAACAACATACTGAAGAATAGCAGCAAAATGGTTTTGCTAAAATGGAAATCATCTTCATTCTCCACCCCCTTTTTTTCCCCTCTAACCACAGGCCTACAAACTTGAACAAGAACAAAAATTCAAACAAAATCTGGGAAATGTCAATTGTGTAACTCAAAGACTTGAAGAAAAGTACAGCCGGATTGCAGACATGGAGAAACTACTGCAACGAATGGAAGAGGTATGCTCGTAAGAGCCCAGCTATGCAGTTCCTGGATAGGCTATAGGAGTCTTCCCTATGCAAGGATCATGATCACTGACTATGAGGCTATTAGGTGTTTTTTTTTTATTTGCACAGTACTGAGGCCTGGCCTTGCAGGCTAATAGCCATTGGGACATTCCTTGCTCACTTGTATATTCCTCTTGATCTAGAACATGTCCTGTTAGTAAAAGTGTAAAGCTCTTTGAAACTACAGTAAACATGAATTTCCATTGTATGAACTCCTACCTCTTGAGTAATAGAACACAGTGTGAAGGGTATTCTAAGCAATCTACCTATAAAAAAAGAGTTCCGTTACTTTGAAAATTTTTTGAACAAGATCCTCAACTAGTATAAGCGTCCCCTTTGATTTCAATGAGGCTACCTCAATTTACATCAGGTGAGCATCGGTCCTTTTAAATGTAATTTGTAACTGAAATGAGAGGTCTGTTTTTTTTTTTTCTTTCAGTTATATTAAAAACTCAGTTAACTTACTTAACCTAACTGCAATTAATTTCCGAGACTTGAAATATCCTGGTTTCTAAGGGTATACCTATACAAGTTTATTTTGGAAAAAGCTATTCTGGAAGATATACTACACAAAAGCCTCAAAATTAGTCTAAGGCAGGCTCCCCTAATGTGGACACGCTATCTCAATTTAGAGCCTCAGAAGGCACTGGGGAGGAATAACTTCAGAATGGCCCTGGAGAGGAGTTGTTTTGATATAGCAGCAGTGGAACATCCACACACACCTCCTTCCGAAAGAGCTTTTTCGGAAAAGGCATTATTCCTTATGGAATGAGGTTTACCAGCATCGGAAAAAAACTCTGTTATTTTGATTATCTTTCAAAATAATGCAATTGCTGTGTGGATGCTAGTATTTTTCAGAATAACATCCGTTATTCTGGAAAAACGGTGCAGTGTAGACGCACTCTACGAGGAAACATCTTCAGCTACTGTTCTTGTATTGTCAAAGTACAGTGCATAACAACAAGCTATTTCCTCCCTTTTGTAGTGCATTTTTCTTCCCCAAATGCTTCCCAAGTTCTTAGTTGATTTAGCAGCAGTGAGGGTTAGAGCAGTGGTCCCCAACCTTTTGAGGTTGTCGGGCGCCAGGGGGCGTGGCCATTTGCCCGCCGGGCGCCAGGGGGCGGGGACACTTGCGCGCCCGGGGGCGGGCCCCCCCTTGCCGCGCGCCCGGGGGCGGGG